TCAGCTGATACAACGTTTTCATTGGTCCCTCTTCTTTAGAGAAGACCAGGAAATGATGGATACACGGATCGTGTTCAAATCAATAGGCGCGCAATGACTCTAATAATAATGACCAAACACAAAAACACACATTCAACTAAAGTATTGCTTTTAGTTTGCATTTGATATGGAGCGGACGTTCAACATTACTCAATTTAATCCCACTATCAGTCAGAAAATGGGTCTGAAATGGACCAATCTGATAATAAGTACTTTTACCTTTGGTGCTTTAGTATATTTTGATGCCAATACTTTTCTACTTTTACTTGAGTAACATTTTGATGCAGGACTTTTACTGTATCAGAGTATTCCTACACTCTGGTACTTCTACTTTTACTCAAGTACAATATCTGAGTACTTCTACTTTTACTGAAGTACAAGATCTGAATAGATTTGGGTCAATGCATCCCAAGCCCAGGAGTGTTATTCTGCTTCATCAATCTCCACTAAAGTGTTGTGCTCACAGTGAAAGAGTGCTTCACGGTTGGTCTGTAATCAAAGGGTTGCAACACTTTCTCTCGATTCAATAACGTCAGACTAAATAAAAATACAGAGCTGAATCCAGATCAGATGCACGCTGAAGGCTCTTTGAGCATGTTTTCTCTCACTGATCGTGCCGTTATGTTAAATGTTTGTTTTTCATGTATTGTGTCTTGATATTTGTCTGTTGATGTTACACATGGAGCTGCTGTGATGCAGGTCACATTTCAGACTTGATCTGACCATTCAAGTATTATCATATTGTATCGTACCTCCTGTTCAGTGTTTCATCTCGTTTACGTACAGGATCTGAGTTTCTTCTCCTACTTCTTGTCCAGGTTATCATCTCTACCCAGTGGCTGATCGTAGTCTTAGTTCGAGACGAGAAGCCGTGCGAGTACAGCCAGGAGGAGTTCGTCATGATGCAGATCTACGTCATGTGTCTCCTGGTCATCAGCTTGATCCTCTCCCTTCACTTCCTGTGTCGATCCTGCAACACCTACACCTACAGGTTTAAATATCCTAATTCTGGGTGGCTTTAAATGTCAAAGATGGGTTCGGGTGACATTAAACAGGGGAATGTGTGGTCTGGGGATGCAAAATGAAGGATGAAAGGAATATAAAAAGGTTATAAAAGTGGCAAAATAACTATAATTTCACAGGAAGACTAGGGGTCGAGGAATGTGAGAATTTGGTTCGGGGTCTTGAACAAATATCTGGAACAATACCAGAAACTACAGGTCCGCCTGCAACTCTCACTACTTTTAAATCCAGGCTGAAGACTTTCTTTTTGCTGCTTCTTTTAATTAAACTATTCACATCTCACACTGCACTGTAACTACTCATGTTTTATTATCTTTGCTTTTTCTAATGTGTTTTATGCTCCTGTTAAGCCCCAACGTCCCCGCCGGCGGGTACTTTAGTTTTCACGACACTGTGTCTCAGGGGATCTTAAAATTTAAGAACCTATCAATGTGTTATACCAGATTAACGGGAATAATCTCAGCTAACTGACGATACAAACCATTTTGACCAAAAGTAAATACAAGTCTCATAAGAAGCATCTAAATGACCCCTGAGCAAAAAATGCTAACCTATTACTGCACCGATAATCACTCCTAGCTCCCTTATTACTTATCCTAGCTGCACATCCAACACATCGTTTATGATCGCAAGGAGACACAGAATCTAACGGTGCCCATCTCAACACTGAAGGATACAAACTCGCGACGTTATCAACAAAAACGTACATCAAAACAAGTGGCGCTAGGTAGCCCACAACGCTAACTTGGCTTACCTTCGTCTTTGTCTGGTCTAAACTGGTCTTCAATGTCAAACTGGTTTGCTTTGCTTTTTTTGCTAAATCTGTCTAAAAAGGTCAAATATCACTTGTTTTGCATCAATCTTGATACAGGGTACTTATTATATGTTGTACTTTGGATTCCTAAAGCTTTTAGTCTACTAACCCATCATCCAAGGTTAGTTTTCACTATAAGTACAACATATGTTTTGGACGGACACTATCATTTACAGTTTTTTACCATGTTCAATCTGAATTTTCTTTAAAATAAAAAACATCTATATTGATTCTGACTTTTCTACATCCAACTCACAGGTTTATCATTACTTTAAGAAAAAAGATTATTAATTTAACCCTTTTAGAAGTGAAGATATGGTCATTTGTTCTGGGAATGTCATTTTCGAGCCTGAAACCTGAAAAACAGGCTTGGGGCCTAGGTCACCTATTATGCAAAATCCTCTTCTACATCAACATGTGTCCCCTCTTCTTCATGTCTCTTCTACATCAACATGTGTCCTCTCTTCTTCATGTCTCTTCTTCATCAACATGTGTCCCCTCTTCTTCATGTCTCTTCTACATCAACATGTGTCCCCTCTTCTTCATGTCTCTTCTACATCAACATGTGTCCCCTCTTCTTCATGTCTCTTCTACATCAACATGTGTCCCCTCTTCTTCATGTCTCTTCTACATCAACATGTGTCCCCTCTGTGGAAAGAGACTCTGAAAGCTTCAGGAACAAAGATTCTCTCTCTTTGTGTCCTGATCCATTTATATAGAAACCTGTCTGAAAATGAGCTGATCAGATTTTGGCCACTTTATGATGTCATAATGATGTTTTGGCTTGAGTAACCATTAGCCAATCAGAGACAGGTTCTGTATATATCTGAGATCTATAATATATTGATAAAAAACAGTATAATAGAGGACCTTTAATGTATTTTATTTTGTAAAGCACTTTGAATTGCCTTGTGTTGAAAAGTGCTATAAAAATAAACTTCCCTTGCCTTATAGTTACACCGGTGCCGTCCGCCAGCAGAGTCGACTTCACGCCACGTTGCTTTTCCTCACGCTGCTGGTTTCCGCCTGTATCTGGGTGGTGTGGATCACGATGTTGGTCAGAGGGAATCCAGAGTTGGACCGTAGACCTCGATGGGACGACCCGGTGATTTGCATCGCTTTGGTGGCCAACGGTTGGGTGCTTCTGATGGGCTACGGCTTGTCCCAGATCGCCTTCTTCTGCCGAGGGGAGGCCAAGTCCAAGGACCTCCCTCTGAGCTTTGCAGGATGGAGCAGTCCCAACGCTGATATTCCAGGATTGAACAGCCCCAAGGAAGGGAATGAGAACGGGAGCTTTGAGAGCGATAGTGAAACCAGAAGAGGTGAGAAACTGAGTGGAGCTTAGGAGTATAAAAGGTGGTGAGGTAAGCTAAGGGGCATTTAAAAAGGTGAAGGTTGCAACAAACACATTTTCTCTTGTTGCGTTTATATAATTTGAGGTAAAGTTAATGTTTATTAACAAGATGATACGATAAATCTGCAAAAGTACTCGGCCGTACTCCTACCTCAAATTATAGAAACGCAACACTCTCAACCATAATTTTCAATTTGGTTAAATAAAATGTCAGAAAAATAGGACACAATGCTCATCACACCTTCACCTTTCTTGTTTGGTCAGAACTAATGTCTTGGAACAGATTCGAAGTATCGGAAGCGTCCTGATTTCTGTGAGTAGTTTGAGTAGACTCTTGTTAAATGCAGGTAAACAACATAGACTTGAAAGCAAAGACTATGTGCCTCTTTCTTAACTGTGGTTACAAGTGATACCTATGGAATAAAAGCAAAATATAAAACCTGAGCACAACTAGAGAGAAGTTAGCCAACTGTGACGTCTGTTACAACGCCATATCTAACCGAAGTTTGCTAACGCTAGCTAACATTAGCCACCATAAACTAGTAGTGTTCAGAAAAGACCAAGTTAGGGTGAAGCTACAAAACCCTTAACTTATGCAATGGTTTTTAACAATTATGAATTCAACTTTTCATATAGAACAGGCACGAAATTGGCCTTTGTTTTCACTTTAGTTGTGATTTGAGGGGCTTTTAGTCAAATAACAACACAGCTAAATATAGAGATCCAATGCTTCTTTACGAGCAAACAGGACAGCAAGATCTTTTATAAGTTTACTAACATTGGCCACCACTATTACTCATACAAGAGTAAGGCTGTAGCAACACAGCTCTTAAATTACACAATATATGTTTTAATGCTTGAATTTCCACTTTCCATTTGTAAAGGGAAAGAAAACACGTTTGTATTTCTTTGTTACCAGTTTTGCTTTTATTCAAATAAGAACACAGACAGATGTATAAAATAATATGTTACCCTACAAGCAAGCAGCACAGCAAGATGTATTTGAAGTGTGCTATGCTAAGCTAACATTAGCCGCCATAAGCTAGTGGTCATAGGGGACCAAGTTGAAGAAAACGCCCAAATTATGCTTGTGTTTAATGCTTACGAGTTCAACTTTTTTATGTAATACGGGAAAAAATAGCTATCTTTATGGGTTGCCATTCAATGATACAACTTCATGTAAAAATGCTATGCTAACCCTACATACAAACAGCACAGCAGGATCTATCTGAAGGATGCTAAGGTAAGCTAACATAAGACACAAGCTACCTAGCCATTAGCTATCAGTCATACAAAACCAAGTTAGGCTGCAACAAAACCACTACATTATGTAATGGTGTTTTGATACTTATACATTCAACTTTTCATTTATTAAGAGGAAAATACGGGTATTTATTTTGTGTTTGGTGTCGAATAACACAGCTGAATGTAAAAATCTTATGCTACTCTAAGAGAAATATTCACTGACAGCTGAGATATTACTCCAAGTCAGAATGAATATGGAGTGGACGTCCGTTGTTACTAAATGATTCCCATTATCAGTCATCCCAGCTCTCACTGCGAGCCTATATGATGAACAGTTTATAATGAAGTGATAATTAGTGAACTGTATCGTGTGTTTCCCCGCAGGCAGGAGGACGGAGCAGTCGCTGAGATCTCCCTACGAGTTGGGATTCTCCTTGACAGTGAGTAATAAAACCGTTAGGATTAACAATCTTTCTTCACACACTCTGCAATTAGACTGCTGTGACCTTTCACTACTGCCAGAGATGGCAAAAATACACACATCCTTTACTCAAGTAGAAGTAGGCTACAGACACTCGTGTTTAAAAATACTTTGGTAAAAGTAGAAGTACTGACTAAACTTCTTTACTCAAGTAAAAGTAAAGAAGTATTGGCTTCGAAATGTTCCCATAACTAGCAGCTGTTTTAAAGAGTACCTGACCTCCCTTTATATTAATAGAACAATAATGTCATTGTTAGCTAATGAATGTTTCCATGCTGAACAACGGCAACATGACAACGTTTTCATTAAGCGCGTTCACACCGGAGTACTTTTCCCTGTACTTTTCCCGTTTAGTTCCGTTAGTACCCCTTATGTCTCGTTCACACCAGAAAGAGTACTTAGTGCCAGGAACTTTTACCCCCATTTGTAGTCCCTGCTAGAGAGGTGGTACTCTCCTGGGGGAAAAAAGTGCCCCAGTTCTGATTGGCTGGGCGAATTGCAAACCACGCCCCGTAAAACTCTGAAATGTTTTGTAGAGCCGCCATTTTATTATCCTCGCATTAGCATTAGCCCAGCGCACAAACGCAGAGAGACTAACTTATGGCAACACAAACAAACATGGGAGCGGTGGAGATGAGGAGGTTTCGGTGTTCTGGCGATTTACTCGGAAGGCTTCAGTAGAAGCTGCTGGCAGTCCCAGCAGCTTCTACTGAAGCCAGTCCCCAACTCCGGGGACTTCCGGCCGGGGACTTTGGGCGGCAGTATACGCCGTGAAGTTGTTTGCGGCCTGCAAGTAAACCCAAAGCAGAAGAAGAAGAAGAAGAAGAAGTGACGTCAGCGGCTCATTTGCGTAATATTCCCTCAGGGAACTTATTCCGGTGTGAACGCGATCGGCTCTTAGTTCCATGGGGGAACTAAGTGCTGGGAACTAAGTACGGCAAAGTACTTGGTGTGAACGCGGCTATTGGTCCCTCTTCTTTAGAGAAGACCAAGAAATGATGGATACATGGATCGTGTTCAAATCAATAGGCACGCAATGACTCTAAATAATAATGATCACGCCACCAGACACACATTCAAACTAAAGGAACCAGCCTGTTTGGAAAATGTGAGAAGTAGAAAGTACAGGTATTTGTGTTCAACATGTAAGAAGTAGAAAGTACAGGTATTTGTGTTTCAACATGTAAGAAGTCAAAGTAAAAAGTCGTCAGAAAAATAAGTAGTGGAGTAAAGTACTGATACCAGAACAATGTACTTAAGTACAATAACGAAGGGTGAATGAAAGCACAGTTTATCAAAAGGTATTAAAGGCACTGACGTGCTGAATGTGTGTTTCCATGTTTCAGGACATCGACCCCGACAAGGACTACACCATCCCTCGCCCGAAGACCACCAACTACCTGGAACCTTATGATGAATATTGATTGAAATAATTGTCTGGTTCCTACACACACATGAACATAAACTGATGTATACCAAAGACAACGCCAAGCCCAAACTCGTGCACTGATCTGTGCTTAAAGGGATACTTTAACCCCCTAAAAAATCCTTTAGTCATCAATTACTCACCGAATGTTTTCTTGAATATTTAAAAAAGTTTTTCTTGCATGCTGACAAAAAAATCATAAGACACAGAAGTTGTGATGAAGTGAAGTAAATGGTCCAACAACAACAACAAAAACTGCAAGAAAACACGAGTTACAAATGTTTTGCACAACTTTCATTGTCTAATTCAAGTCATATTTATCTAAATATATGCTAATTATTTGATCAAACACATGCATCTTTTCCAAAATCGTACTTTGTGGCACGCAAGAAAAACACTAATATGTCTTCAAGAGTTCAAGGTAACACCGGTGTGACTTAATGATCTATTTAACGACATATTTTCATTTTTTTGGGTGACGTATTCCTTTAATGTACAAAAAAAATAGTTTTTCTACATTTCATTTTCTTGTGCAAATGTAAATATTTGTAAATGTGCCAATATGTTAAACCCTCCGTCCCGAAAAGTAGAAAGAGACTCGAACAGAATGACTCATCTGCCCGAGTTTCATCATGGAGGAGCGATGGGTTCAGCTCACAGGAAATCCATCACCAAATGCTTTGTGATGGTGTGTGTGTGTGTGTGTGTGTGTGTGTGTGTGTGTGTGTGTGTGTGTGTGTGTGTGTGTGTGTGTGTGTGTGTGTGTGTGTGTGTGTGTGTGTGTGTGTGTGTGTGTGGCTCTCAGAGTGTATATAAAAGCCCTGAGGTGATGGAGGAGGTGTGGAACTGCCACTCTGAAGGTGCCAAACTGCTGAGGAGAGGAAGGATGAAAGTATGGAGGGGGATTATTAGATGAGAGGAGACAGTGCCATCAGTGATTAACATCTTCATATTCAAAGTTACTTTACAGTCGCTGGGTTTTGTTGGTGCTGCTGCACAGAAAACAATGTTCATAAATGACACAAGGTGGGTGTCTTTAGTGACTTTCTACACATGCTCAATAAAAGGGTTTATCCATAAAAGTTGTGTTTGCCTCTTCGTCTTTTTCAGGCAGATTATCGAATGTATTCTGACATATTCTGTATATTTTACATTGTATATTCTATGCACATGGATCTTTCCAAGACTCAAAGGATTTATTGACATTTGCACATTAGCTAAGCTGTAGTTTTAGAAATAAAAACTTGCAATATAATGTAGAATAAATTAAACTACTTAGGTAATTCACTTCAGAAACACTAACATCCCGATAGCAATGAATATATCAAATGCTTTGACAATAAATACATAACAAAATGTCATCTGTGGAAGCCGTAGCGCTGTAAAAAGCACGACCAATCATCTGAGCCGGCCCGCTACTACTACTACTCAGTGGCGTTTTCTCCCGGAGGCCAAGGGAAGCCAGGCTTCCCCTGTTTTTTCGGATTGTAGTTATAATTTAAATAAATAAATAAAAACACTTTGTTTTGTTTCGATAATTCTCCTTTGCTGTGTGTTGCTGCCGGCCCGTCTCTACATCCATGGTCTCTCCCCCATTCTCATTGAGTATTTTACAAAGAGTGAAACAGCGCCCCTCTAGATGTTATGGTGAAACAGTAGATTGCACTCACTGTTGCGAGAGGAGGCCAGCCGAATCTGGCTTCCCTTGGTGAAAAAAAATGGAGGGATTGACCAATCAGATGAGGCTCACGTGATGCCCCTGCCAACCTGTGATTGGTCAGGGCCATGCCAAGGGAAGCCAGAGGCGGCTGGCTTCCCTTGCCTCACAATCCAATCAAATCGCATCAACTTAGTGTTGCAGTGACGCGTCCTAAAATCCGGAAGTAAACTGCGCTCGGTTTCCCTCGACAAAAACGCAATGGGATTTCTCCATAGGATTTAGGAAAATAGCTCGAAATAAGGTCAGTGGAAAACGAACCTGTTAGATAAATGCACGTTTTGTTCAGTCGGATAATATCCACATGTCTACCCTACTTTTATAATTTTCGAATCATAAATCTAATCGATAGAAGATAGATAGCGCCACTGCACCACTCTCACCGCCGAATGAAAGTAGCAAGCAACTGAAGCAAGTGCAATTAATATGGAGGGTGGAGATTTGGAGTATTTCATCAAAAAATAATTGTACTAAACTTCCGCTACAGCAGCAACAACAAATACAATCTGATGACAGGCCAATGCCCAAACTGGAGCTGTGTACAGCGAGGAACAAAGGAGCGAATCGGACGTAAAACGTTAAAGGTCTCCTGATTTAGTTTGTGAATGAATGCTTATTAGAGTTTCGGCTCACTCATCTGGTTACGTTATTACATTGACCACCACACCCCCGACCCAAAAGAAAGGACGTATTATTGGCTTCCCCTAATTTTTTACCCACGCTACTGCTACTACTGCCCGCTACTGGATGGCCTACCTGCCTGTCAGCCTTCCATCTGTGCACAAATTATCTCGTGCCCTCATTGGTCATGTGCGCGTTCGTGTGTGTTGGAGGAGGGGCTCTGTAAGGAAGTCTGAAGGAAGAGGCAGATTTTTTCCGGTTGTGTACTTTCAAATTCTAGCACCCTCGAGCTGGTTTCTCCATTCTTACCTACCCTACCTTTAAGAAGAAATACAAATGGAATAGTGCAAGAGACACTGTTGCAATTCAAATGCAGAAATAAGTATACTATATACATATACAGAAGATACAAAAGTTAAAAATGATATTGTGTACAGTAATACAATCAATTAATAAATAGTATATAGACTGTTAACAGATGTAGGTGAATAAATATTTCTACTGTTTATATGTATTTATTTACTGTTTATTTTATTACATTTTTAACGTGTGCAATGCATTTTTAACATGCTGCTTTAACAATAACTCGTCGTTGCGCTAGGTTTTGCTGTAAACGTGGCTCCAATTTTCGACAATTCATCAATGAATTGTGGAAATGTTTTGGTATTTCATTTACTGTAGACACATGCAAAAAACTAAGAATTTAAGATGACAAGGGTGTGATTTAATGATGCATAAAAACCTATGATGAAAACCCATATAACACCACAGGAAAGGGAAAACTCCAAAAAGCACAATTGGCCCACTTTACGCAGCAGAGGTGCAGTACCGCATTTCTAACCACCAGGGGGCAGTGTTTAGACACACTCAGACAAAACTACTTGGAAATGTAAACTGTAAGAAAGGAAAACATCTAATCTATATTGTCAGAATAATACTATAGAACACAAATTGCCTTGGGTATAATTTTCACACAAAATCAATCGACAGAGAAAGTTTCCACCACTTATTTCCCCCCCCCCCCCCCCCCCCCGCGGTGCCCTGTAGTGACTCCACCGCCCACACAAAGGTCAATCCCTCACTTCAATAGATCCCCCCCCCACCCTTTTCTATCAGACAGCCTTCAATCTATTCTTCCAATTAACTCGACTTCAATTACTCAGAGAGAGAGAGCATGCCATCAAATTGCCAATTGGCCTCTTGTGCATTCGAGCAATTAGCAGGATATGAGTTTTCCCGCCTCATTCAACCCATTTAAGGCCATTAACTCCAGATGCGATTAAAGATGGTTCCAGATTGGTGTTTGACCCCCCCCACACACACACACACACACACACACCACACACACACACACACACACACACACACACACACACACCACACACACACACACACACACACACACACACACACACACACCACACACACACACACACACACACACACACACACACCCACACACACACACACACACACACACAACCCAACATCACCCTTTGGCAACAGTGGTGTAAAGCAAAGGTTTACTTTACTGTACTTAAGTACATTTTTCTGGTATCAGTACTTTACTTGTCTTTCTGACGACTTTTTACTTTTACTTCTCACATGTTGAACTCAAATACCTGTACTTTCTACTTCTTACATGTTGAACACAAATACCTGTACTTTCTACTTCTCACATGTTGAACACAAATACCTGTACTTTCTACTTCTTACATGTTGAACACACATACCTGTACTTTCTACTTCTCACATGTTGAACACAAATACCTGTACTTTCTACTTCTTACATGTTGAACACAAATACCTGTACTTTCTACTCTCTCATTTTCCCAAACAGCTGGTTCCTTTAGTCTGAATGTGTGTTTGGTGGCGTGATCATTATTCTTTAGAGTCATTGCCGTGCCTATTGATTTGAACACGATCCGTGTATCCATCATTTCCTGGTCTTCTCTAAAGAAGAGGGACCAATGAAACGTTGTCATGTTGCCGTTGTTCAGCATGGAAACATTCATTAGCTAACAATGACATTATTGTTCTATTAATATAAAGGGAGGTCAGGTACTCTTTAAAACAGCTGCTAGGTACTTTTTACTGAAGCACATTTCAAAGCCTCTTTACTTTTACTTGAGTAAAGAAGTTTAGTCAGTACTTCTACTTTTAGCAGAGTATTTTAAAACACGAGTATCTGTACTTCTACTTGAGTAAAGGATGTGTGTACTTTTGCCATCTCTGGTGTAAAGTAACTATAGATTTACTCCAGTACTGTACTTAAATATACTTTGAGGTACTTCTTCTTTACTTAAATCGTGTACTTTAACTCCATTACATTTGTTTTGATAGCTTTAGTTCCACCTGGAGTAAATCCACAAGCTACCCTGCAGTATACAAAGTCATTCAAGCTAGCTGCACCTTTACCAGCTTTGAGAACACTTTCATGATCAATCATTATAAAACATATCATATATATTATTCTGAAATGGACCAATCTGCACAACGACTACTTTTACTGTCGCTACTTTCACTATATTTTGATAATAATACTTTTCTACTTTCAACTTTTACTGTAACAGAGTATTCCTACACTCTGGTACTTCTACTCAAGTACAAGATCTGAGTACTTCTACTTTTACTCAAGATCTGAGGATTGTTATTCTGATCAATCTCCTGTAAAGTTTTGTGCTCACAGTGAAAGAGTGCTTCTTGGTTGTTCTGTAATCAAAGGGTTGCAACACTTTCTCTCACCTCCTGTTTCAGTGTTTCCTCTCGTTTGAGAGTGCTTTCAGACGTCCTCTCTCAGCCTCTGATTGGATAACCTTGTTACAGCCAAACTCTGGAAAGATAAATGATAAGCCGTACACAATCGTGGGAAGGAAATGCCTAAATGGTTACCAGCTGCTGAAGGGAGTGTGCTTTATCACCTCCTGATAACTAGTGTGCAAGGGCTCTGGTTCACATGTTGAGGGGGACTGCTCACTCCAGAGTAAAATACATATATGTTCCTTAGTGCTGTGTTGGAGGTATAGAGTTGTCTCCAATATAAAGATAGTGGATGGTTTCTGGTGCTCAAAGCAACAACAATATACATTCACAGCAATGCCTCTTTCCAAAAATCATGACTCAGTAACTCAAGATAAAACCGCTTGTCGTGAGCAGCTTATAGGAACTACTTTCTTTCTTTGTTGTTTGTTTTACTCCTGTTTCGGTAACACTTTATATTAAGGTACACATATTCACCATCAATAGTTGTTCATTAACATGCATATTAGCAGTATATTGGCTCTTTATTAGTCATTATAAAACACTTATTAATGCCTTATTCTACATGACAATATTCTGCAAGTAATAAGCCATTAGCTGAGAGTTTTTCCTCAATAACCCTCTAATTAGTGCTTATTTGTTGTAAGTAAGGAAGTAGTTACATGAGTCTTGGTCTTAATTTGCTCAATATGGGTCTAATAAGGCATGCATAGTAATTATCCCATAATAACACTTAACAAATATGATCTATTCTTATGTAACAAGACATGAAACTACAAGTGTTATTTGTGTCAAAATGTGGTATTTATATCTAAAAATATGTTCCCTATTTTAAAGTGAAGTCTTGTTCATAACCAATAAGCTAGCAGTTTATATTAATTAACAACTAGTTGATGGTGAATAAGTGTACCTTAATATAAAGTGTTACCCCTGTTTTTGTGCATGTACCATCCGACCTCTGCAGCTCATCCAGAATGCAGCGGCTCGT